ACAGGAGGGTGCAATGCATATCCACCTGTGGGTGTAGATATAGATGGTATAGATGTAGATGTAAGTATAGAGTGTTGCTGAAAATGCCAGTAGCAATTCTTCAGGTTTCTGACTCCACATATAGATCTATATAATATATATCTGTATACCTGTATGTGTATATATCTATATATGTGGGTGTATATATAGATAGATAAAAAATTTTTGGAAATGCCAGTAGCAATTATATAAGTTTTTAACCCCAAATACATATTTATATATCTATATAGATACATATATTTGTATCTATATTTCTATTTCTATATATCTATATGCATTTATCCATCTGTCTGTCTATCTATCTATCTATCTATCTATCTCTCCATCTATCTATCGATCTCTAAACCTATAGACATAAAATGGCTGGAAATGCCAGTAGCAATTATTCAAGTTTCTAACCCCAAATACATATCCATACTTAGAGAAGTACTGGTAAGGCCTGTAGCAGTCCCTCAAGTGTCTAAGCCTGACTTAGGGAAGCCAGGTCTGGCAGGCAGAGGCATTGCTGAGCATCCCAAACCAGCTCCTTCCTCCTGGGCAGAGCCGGCGCCCTGACGTCAGGGTGTTTTTCTGCATCGCTCGCAGGATGTCAGAGCCAGCCAAGAGCTGTGTTTATGTTGATAACATTACAAGTATTTCCTCTCCATTTCCGAAACCAGCAGGGAGGGAGCTGAGGGGGAAGGGAGACTCGGGTTTCTCCAGCTTTGGGTAGGACTCTGAAGGCCTTTTATGTTAAGAAGCAGGTACCAATGAACTGCTGGCATTTATTTATCCTGCTCTTGGGAATAGAGAGTGTTTAACAACAGGGGCTGGGAGCTGGGAGCTGGGCTGGCACAGCCCTCCCTCCTGCCTTCACCCTCTGCTCCAGATCTGGTTTTAAGGTGATAAAGCAGAGCTGGCAACAGGGCTGGTCACAGGAGAAGCTGCCGGGATTCTCCGTGTAATGATCTGTACAGCCAGCCGTGATGCTCGCGGGGCTGCCTCGGATCCTGCAGCTTTGAACATGCACAGTAATAAAGCCATGAAAATTCAGGATCCGTATGCATCCAGCTTTCCTCATGCTAACAGGGAAATTCAGTATTCTTTGCCCTTGCCAGCCGTTTCCCCCTGATGTGATCTGCTTAAGGATCAGTGAACTTAATAAACATAATATCAAGGGGGTTTTAAAGCTTCCTGCCCATGGATGCAATCCCAGGGCATCAGCTTCACTGCTGGCTCAGCCAAGGGTGTACCTGCATGAATGAATCAATCATCTTAAGGGTCTTTTCCAGTCTAAATGATTCTGTGATCATCCCACCCTCCTAAAAGGGTTTTGCAGCTGGTACCCATGGCCAGTCTAGGAATTGCCTGTAGCTTTTATCCATACAGCAGTAACAGTCAGGGAAATAAAACCCGGCTCTTTTGTTGTGTGTGGGTCACTTCCCCGTAAGAAGGGCAGGAGGAAGAGCAGATTCACAGCTTTACTTCTTTCCACCCACCCACTATGTCCTGCTTTTGATACCAAGGGAGAATATGTTGAGGATGGGGCAGAATAGGTCTTCAAGATCATCTAGTTCCAACTCCCCCTGCATGGGCAGGGACACCTCCCACCAGCCCAAGTTGCTCCAAGCCCCATCCAACCTGCCCTTCAACACTGCCAGGGATGGGGCAGCCACAGCTTCTCTGGGCAACCTGGGCCAGGGTCTCACCACCCTCACAGTGAAGAATTTCTTCCTAATATATCATCTAAATCTCTTCTCTTTCAGTTGGAAACTGTCCCCCCTTGTGCTATCACTCCCTGCCCTTGTCATAAGTTCCTCCCCAGCTTTCCTGGAGCCCCTTCAGGCACTGGAAGGTGCTCTAAGGTCTCCCCCAAGACCTTCCTGAGAGGACTCCAGGGACCACAGACAGGAGAGGAACCAGATGCCCTGGAGTCCTGTCCCAGCTCTGCCACTCCTTTGCTGAGTGACCATGAGAAGTTGTCATTCTCCTGATGTCTGAGGTGTGATGCAATATCTGGAGCTGCCAGCTCAAAAGGTCCTTGAAGCCATTAAGAGAGGCTTGGAAGAGTTTAAGATCTGTATGTTTTCCAGTGATGGGTTAATTATGGACCAGAAGGTGAGAAGCAAGATCTCAGTGTGAGGAGCCAGTAGGATGCCCGTGTGGTGGGAGCATCCCGCTTAGTGACTAGTTGATTCACTCTTGGGTAAACTGCTGCTGTGGTGCTAGTCCTGGGATAGCTGTGGGGATCCCAAATGAACAGCATCCCAAATAAATGAGAATCCCAAATGAACAGGAATTCCAAATGAACAGGATCCTCAATGAACAGGAACTCTCAGTTTGAGAATGGGGTGGGAGAAGAGGAAAGGAGCCACATCCACACACAAGAATGGTGTTTCTCTACAAATATTCATCAAATCACAGCAAAGAGTCACTTTTTTTTCTAGTAACCTAGAAAATCTAGCCTAGTAACCTAGAGGCAGGTCTTTCCCTTTCCCTCATCACTGTTCCCTTGTGGCAGTAGCGTTGGGTTCCCAGGAAAGGCACTGGTTGTGATGGTGAGACCTGGGCACCTTCATCAGCCCCCATGAGGTTTCAGGAGTATCTCAGTGCCACCATTACTTTCATTCAGTGATTCAGCATGGACTGAAGGTCCTTTTGCCTTTGCAGAAGTTCTGATTGTGAGGAGCACCCTATTTCTGTGGGTTTCCACAGTGGGATGCTCAAAGGATCTATCACCTACATCGAGCTGCTTTCATTCTTGCTGGCAGGACAGCTTTGTCTGCTTCCCCTTGCTACTAAGGACAGGCAGGATACAAGTCCCCTTTCCTACCCTCCTTGTTCTTAGGACCATTTCAGCACCAGATTGGGATTGTTTGATGAATGGCTTTGGAGCAAAAGCCAGCATCCTGGTGGGCTTGGTGCTTTGCTTTTCCCCAATTCCAGATGCACCATCAACCCTAAAAACAGCATCAGAGAATCACAAGATGGTTTGGGTTGGAAAAGACCTATAGAGCTCACCTAGTCCAACTCCCCTGCAGTGAGCAGGGACATCTATGTTCAACTAGACCAGGTTTCTCAGAGCCTGTCCAACCTGACCTGGAACGTTTCCAGAGATGGGGCATCTCCCACCTCTCTGGGGAACCAGGGCCAGTGTCTCACCACCCTCATTGTTAACAATCTTTTCCTTATAAACCCTTTACAAACATTGGATTTTCTCTCCAAAGCCAGAGCAGTTTAGACCAAGCATTTCTGACTCTAAATGAGTTGTGTGGGGTGTGTTAAGCACCAAGAGTGGAGAATGTCATCAAAACCCTGCTGGTTGCAGGTTTTCTGGACATCCCACCCTGGAGCAAAACCTCACGAGAGACACTGCAGGACCAGCCCCAGCTCCAAGCAGCAGGAGGACTGAATCAGTTCAAATTCATCCAGACAGATATTTTAACCATCAGTGAAACCCTTTGGCAAGTTGGCTGCTCACACCAGTGGGACCTCTTGGAGAAAGCCCTGTCTCAGGACTGGCCATGGAGGGAGCCGAAGGAAAGCTCTTATCTTATGGAGCTTGATTTCCTTCTGGTTCAGAGTTTGTCTGACCTTTTGGTCACTGAGTAAGTTTGATTTTTGCCAGGTTTTCTTTTGGGGGGGAGGAAAAACATGTAAGTGGGTGGTGCTGGTGGGCGGATACTCCTGGGTGGGGAGGATCTTGTATTTCTGATACCGTTTCCAGCACGTTGATGACTTCAGCGTTGTCCTTTTGCCCAGAGTTTGGGATGGGTCTAGATTGAAGCAGATTTAAATAAATACAACAAGAACAAACAACATGAGATGTATTTAAGAGGAGGAGGCTTACAGACTGTGTATCAGGAATAAAAACCTTTCTTGGCAGCTTGACAAGTTGGCTTGGCAGCAAGAGCTTGCAGCCTTCTCCCAGGAGATGCTGAAGATGCAACTGGATGTGTGACAAAAGCCTGAAGGACAGGAGAGAGTCGTGTGGCAGCTGCCAATCGTTGGCATGTAGCAGAGCCATCCCTGAGCCCTCTCTGGGCTTGGAGCAGATGCAAGATTCTGACCTGACCTTGGGAGGCCCCAAGTTCTGGGTCTTGGCAGCTTTGGGCTCTCTTCTGGCCAGGAGAATGATGTCTAACATCTCGCTGTCATTTCCCTCAGCCTCTGGACCTGTATCTGTTTGGGAGGAGATAACTATACCCATTTCTCAGGAGCTTTTTGAGATCTACAGAGGAACTAAATCACCATAAAACTCTTGTATTGAGAAGGGCTGGGGGGGAAAGCCTGGGGAGAACAACTGGTCGTGTCATCGTCCTGTAAATTTGCAGGACGTTTCCTGGGAAGAAACATCCAGTGCAAGAAATGTACACCTTGCACTGCCAGATGATCTTGGATCATTATTTATGGGTGTTTGTTCCATCTGCACGTGCAAGGAGTCTGATGGGGTTTGAACTGAGTCAAAGCTGCCCAGTAACAGGCTGGGATCTGCTGGCACTGCCTGCAGGAGGACCTGACCTCTCCTGCTTCCCTGCCTCTCATTCTGGGGCGTTTTGGATCCAGGCTCCTTGTTGTGGTCTTCACTTGTTCCATCTCACTTTTCTCCAAGTACACTCATTTGCAGACCATTATATAAGCACATCATTCATTTCCTTGAAGACCAGGTACTTCTCTTTGGTGCTCAGCTTCATGGCTCATTCCTCTCATGCTCTACCACAGTATATCCATTCCCTGCTTTGTCTCAGGTCACTTTTGCTGTTCCCTCAGACTGGAATCTCTCCATGTGCCCTCCAGTTGGGAATGTATGAACATATCAATAAATCCTTCCCATCCACATTCCTGCAGGGACTCCAGCCACACATGCACTTCTCCCTTCATGCTCTACACACTCAAGATGCACAACACCACCCCAAGCTGGAATTCTTTGGGGATGACTTTGCGTGAGGGTTTAAATAATTGTTCTCTGCTCTCTTCCCCAGGTCAACATGGATTTGTGGTTCTTTCTCCTTTTGCTCGGAAGTGGCCTGATAAGTGTAGGTGCTAACAACGTTACAACAGGTAAACTGTGCTCCTCAGCTTCTCTCTTTTGTCCCTAAACCACCTGTAGGATCAAAGGAGTCAGTGCTCACGTGCTGGGTGACTCACTCCTCACTCCTTCTGCCCTCCACTGTAATATATTGGAAAGAGGGTGGTGGGCTGCAGGTGCTCATAAATCAATATAAAAACTGATCCTCTCTTACAGGGGCCCTAATCCTTCAGCCTTCTCCATATCATAATATGTATTCAGGTGACCTGCTTTTACAGTGTGAGCAGCACCATGCTCTGCCAAACATTCCTTCTCCTGGACTTGGGGGTTTTTTGGCTCTTTTACCCTTGGAGTTGCAGACATGCTAATCTCCAGCATCTAAACCCTCCAGTGTTGCAGCAAGGCATCTCATGAAGGTTCTCCTTTGTGCTTTCTCCTCTGGCAGAGCCACCCACAACAGTGCCCACCTCCCCCAGGAGCCCCACCAAAGCTCCCACAGCAGATCCCAAGGATGGGACTACGACGAGCGCCAACAGCCTCAACATGAGCACTCCAGTGACTGTTTCTACCGTGGCGTCAAAGCCACCTGCAACCACAGCCACCAGGCTCTCCCCCAACACCACCACCATCAGCCTCAACACCTCCACCCTGGGGACAACCTTGCCCCTGCCTCCAGCCACCTCCCTGATGCCCAGCGTGACGCCGCCGGCTCCGCGCACCTCCCTCCCCAGCACCGACGCGGAGACGACAGAGAGGAACTTTAGTGCCATGGTGACAACACAAGAGACCTCTTCTGCTTCCCACAATGGTAGGCATCTCCTGTTCCTCTTTCCCACCAGGCCTCGCAGCCTCTGGGTTTGTTTCCTTGCTCTTCTTTTGTGTTGCTGAACAAAAGAGGAGGAGAAGACACTCCGGGACAGGTTTTTCCATTTCGGTTGGAGAAGGCCTTTGAGATCATCAAGTCAAACCCTTAACCCTCTACAGAAACCAAACACCTTCAGAGCAAGTGCTAAGCTAGAATCAGCACCTTTTTTTTATCACTTTGGCAGCTGGAACCTTCCCTACCCAGGTTTTATGTTGCTCTAAGGGAAGGTGTGAACTTCACAAGCTGCTGGCTGTGTTGGTATAACCCTCACGTGGCCTTTCTTGGCTTCACGGAGGAACCACAAGCATCAGCCACCTTTGCTGTGTCCACCTGGGAGTTGTGTCATGGTGATGGTGCCTAAGTTTCCACATGAGTGAGAGTGAAGTCTGAGTGCAAAGTGAAGTGGTCTTCATCCCCCAGTGCTGATGACTTAGAATCATAGAATCCTTTTGGTTGGAAAAGACCCTAAAGATCCCTGAGTCCAACCCTTCCCCCAGCCCTGCCAAGGCCACCCCTGCTCCATGTCCCTCAGCACCACATCTACAGGCCTTTGAAACCCCTCCACGGATGGAGACTGCCCCCCTGCCCTGGGCAGCCTGGGCAAGGGCCTGACAGCCCTTTTGGGGAAGAAATTGTTCCCAATATCCAACCTAAACCTCCCTTGGTGCAACTTGAGCCCATTTCCTCTTGTCCTGTCACTTGTTCCTTGGGAGAAGAGCCCGACCCCCCTGGCTCCAACCTCCTCTCAGCAGCTGCAGAGCCAGCAGGTCTCCCCTCAGCCTCCTTGTCTCCAGGCTGAACACCCCCATTTCCTTCCATGGTGATACAACTCCCTGAACTGGCCAGATCAGAAGAGATTTGTCCTACCGAAGATATGTGCTTCCTACCAAGATTCTGGGACACCAGAAACCCCAGGTTCTCCTTTCACTTTTGTCACAGATAAATTTCATCACTTCTTGTGGTTGCCAGTGTGACATGGAGGTAGTGCTGCACAGTTCCCAGGTGCTGGCTGAAGAGTTGATCCACAACGGGTCTGTGTAGGCAACAGCAATAAATCACCCTGGGTTGCTGCTCAACTGCAGAGCTTGGCTTATCCAGAGTCCTGCTGCATTTGTTTGTATTTTTGTGGCCACCATGGGGTCAGGCCATGCTGTTTTGCACTGTACAAGCACACACACAACAAGGCAGACCCTGTTCCAAAGGAGGTAAGGTATAGACTAGAGGTGGCCAACCAGGGGTGAGGTTCAGCTCGTGGGGAAAGCTGGTGAGTTGGCTCATTATCCATAATTAGCCAAGCTGGGGGTGAAGGATGATGCAGTAGGATGGTGCTGGCCCAGCTGGTAGGGTGATCTGTATGCTCCACCTGCTGCTTGGAGGCACAAGCCACTTGTGACTTGATAAACCCTGAAGGTGCTTTCTCTCCACCATGATGAGGACCAGGAGCAATGTGGTGAGGCTTAATAGAGCAGAGTATTCCAGGCACTGGATATCTCAGTCTCACATTTGCTGGCACATCCAGTGGGGAGATGCCCCATCCCTGGGAGTGCTGAAGTTCAGGTTGGACAGGGCTTTCAGCAACCTGATCTAGTTGAGGTGTCCTTGCCCATGGCAGGGGGGTTGAACTAGATGAGCTTTTAAGTCCCTTCCAACCCAAATCATCCTGTGATTCTATGCCTACATTGTCATGTTTTCCCCATTACTTGCACCACGTTAATCTTTGGAAGGTCTAGATGAGAAAGAGTTGTCTCTAGTGCCATCCTGCTGTCCTTCCCCTCTTGGCACATCATAAAAGTGGCCTCTAAGAATGTAGTTTGGCAGGTCAGTGTGGATCAAGAGCAAAATGAGAATAAATTTCACAAGGGATCTGGGGTGTTGGGTATCTGAACCCCTCTGCAGGTCAGTGAGATGTGTGTGCCCTCTTCCTCTGGGCATCTTTGGAAACTGCAGCCTGTTAAGCTGCAGTGAAGTTGTCTTGGCTACCAACATAGGAAGGTATATGACTGAAGGAAGTTTCCAGCCCAGCTTTCTTAGCATCCTGCCATCCCTGAGCTCATCCAGCTTCCATTTCAAGCACAAATCCTGAAGTTTTGTTGCTGGGTGAAGGAGTCCAGAGTAACCTCAGATGTGTGCATGGTGCAAGTTTAGAATAAACGTAACCTTCAGGTGGGAGTGATGGAGGAAAAAGCCTGAGGTACTGCCAAGATCTGGACTTTGCAATCCAGTGTCTGCTAGTGGGGGGCTGAATTTGTCATTTTTGTGTCTTTACTAGTTTTTTTTGTCACTTGGGTTGCTGCTTTTGGTGAACTCCCTTGGTGCAGGTTATGACACGTTGACCACTGCACCATCAAGGCTGGATGTAGCTTCCACTTGCTGTTAGTCCCAAGAGCAAATGGCCAGACCTGATTCTTTCTTTATGTCAAATAATTTGTCAAGGAACAAAATTAATTTTAGGCCTGCCTTGACTGTTAATCTTAATGGGAAATTTGGATAGTAGTCATGGAAGAATTAAGTGGTGCTCAAGAGAGGGACAGGAGCAGAAGGCACCTCATTAATTACATGTTGTACAGGCAGTTCCTGCTTCTCCAAATCCTACCAAGGCTGTCCTCAACCCCATGCTGCAGATCCTGACACATAAAACAGGGGCATGTGGTGCTGCTGCCAGCAGAGTTGCAGCAGGAGAGCTGGGCAATGCTCTCGTTGGGTTACATGTGGCTTCCTCTAGAGTATTCTGTCCAGTTCTGGAGCTCTCAACACAGGAAGGACATAGAGCAAGGCCAGGGGAGGCCACAAAGATGCTCAGAGGGCTGGAGCAGCTCTGCTCTGGAGCCAGGCTGGGAGAGTTGGGGTGTTCAGCCTGGAGAAGAGAAGGCTCCAGGGAGACCTTAGAGCACCTTCCAGTGCCTGAAGGGGCTCCAGGAAAGCTGGGGAGAGGATTTTCATCAGAGAGGTCAGTGAGAAGACAAGGGGTAATGGTTTAAAACTGAAAGAGAGGAGATTTAGGTTAGATGTGAGGAAGAAATTCTTCACTGTGAGGGAGGTGAGAGCCTGGCCCAGGTTGCCCAGGGAAGCTGTGGCTGCCCCATCCCTGGCAGTGTTGAAGGGCAGGTTGGATGGGGCTTGGAGCAGCCTGGGCTGGTGGGAGGTGTCCCTGCCCATGCAGGGGGGTTGGAACTGGATGATCTTTACATTCCCTTCCAACCTAAACCAGTCTGGGACTCCATGAAAACCAGCAGGTAGAGGCTCTCCTTGGATGCTCATCCTCCCCGGCACTGAGCCCAGCCTGCTCTTAATTCAGCACTTGGCTCAGCCACTCTTTTAAAATGATGCACAAGTTTTGTCTCTTAATTTTAAGTGCTAATAAATTACACCAGTGACTTGCTGGTTATAGGCTTAAACAGACTGTGCCATCCATTACCTGGTGTTTATCAGTGTTACAGCTCAGCTCCAGCTCTCTGCTCTGCTGAGAAAAAGCTGTTTTTTTGTTTCTTTTTCCTAATTTGAAGGCTGAAATTCATTCTAACATCCTAGTTTTGTAGCTGGTGTTTTAAAGGAAAGGTTTACATGAAGATGATAAGAGTTACTAAATTTGTTCCTGTCTTGGTCTTTGATCCTTCCTGACTTATTAAAATGTATATTTCTTTGTTGCTAAGAGACTTCTGTTTTCTTTTTCTGCAGGTAACGCTGACAGAAGAGGTAAGAATTTTATGTTTCATTGCTCTTTAGTCAAACCCTCAATAAAAAAAAACATTTCCAGAAATATTCTGCTCTAAGCTGCCTGTCTTTAGGAGACATTTCCAAACTTGCTGTCACAGAGCCTCTCAAGCTCTTTGGAAGAGCAAGGAACACACTGATAACTTCATTTCTGCTGGGCTTTTCAGAAATATACTGTGCAAATATCAGTGTTATAATCCCTAGAGTCTGATGAACAAGATCTAAGAAGCCATTCAAGAAATTTCCTTTTGTGTTGGTTTTTTTTTTTTGCTTATGAATTGTCTGTATTGACTGTGACTTCCCATTCAATCTGGGTCCATTCTGCAAATTATGTGAATAACTGTTATTCTGCTTGATTCTGTTGGCAAGCAGCAGCACAAATCCATTTCTTGTAACTTAATGGCACTGAGGTGCATTTTTTCCATCTCTTAGTTCTGAGAACTGGCATCACTGCCAGAATATCTGCCATTACCCAGTGCTTCAGCACCACAGGAGCTGGTGAAGCAGAGATGCTGCAGCTCCAGTTGCTGCCTACAGAGATTGAGGTTCCTCTGTGTCTTTCCATCGTGGCTCTGACCAATGTGTCAGCTTTGTAAACCCCCCCAACAACCCCCTTCACACTGCTGGGTGTGTCAAACCCACACCATAGAGGCATGGGATGGATTTATGGCATGGGTTAGGTTGAAGGGACCTTGAAAGATCCTCTAGTCCCCCTACAGTGAGCAGAGACATCTTCAACCAGATCAGGTAGCCCTGTCCAACCTGACCTGTAATGTTTCCAAGGATGGGGCATCTCCCACCTCTCTGGACAACCTGGGCCAGGGTTTCACCACCCATTGTAGGAAATGTATTCCTTATATCTAGTCTGAATCTCCCTTCTTCCAGTTTAAAACCGTCACCCATGTCCTGTAAGGAGCTTTATTTAAGAAATACTGACCCTACATCTTTGCTTCCATTTCTTTTACCCCCATTTTTTTTAAATTCTGCGATCCCATAGTTTCTTGTCTGCTCAGTTTGACTCACATTCTGTGGGCAGACATTGACAGTGATGAGCAAGAAGGGCTGCTCAGCCCTGTCCCTCCATGCTGGGCAGCTGCACCGGCTCCGTGTGATGCACAGGGGACAACCTAGAGATCACTAGATAGCACCTCTCTCTTACCCTTAGATACAGGATATCAAGTATCAGAAGGTGGTTCCCTGGCTCCTCAGAGGTGTCAGGACAATATTTAAGCATCCTGATTCCTTCCAGGCTCTGAAGGTGGATGCTCCAGCACTGCAAGTCGATGGGAGCAGAGTCCTTGTCTGTTCTGCAGGAGAATTGCAAACGTGAAGGCCCCGGGGCCAAGGCTCAAGCAAGACAGGAGCTGGCGGGGGTTTGGCACTGCTCACCAAGGCTGCCTGGGGGAGGAGGGACCAGCTGGGGACCCTCCAGCTGGTGGAGGGTGGGTGGGCTGGGCAGGAGGCCGGCGGTTTGTGGCCGGGGTGGAAAAGCTCTTAACTCATCCAGCCAGACATGATGAAAGAACGGCTGCAAGGAAACGTGCAACCACCAGGCTCCCTGCATCCTGCTGCCACGGCCACCCCTGCCACAACCCCTGCCCCTTAATCAAATCTCCTGCCACCCAGTGCTGCCACGGAGGCCCCTGCTGGGCTCAGCACCTGTTGGACTGAGCTGAACTCCAGCCAAGGCAGGAGAAGTGGTCCAAGGATGCCTAGTGAGGGCACAGAGCTGTGGCTGGGGCACTGACCCCTCCTCCAGCCAGGATCACAGACTCTCAGACTGCTTTGGCTTGGCAAGGACCTTAAAGATCATCCTGTTCCAATCCCCCTGTGTGGGCAGGGACACCTCCCACCAGCCCAGGTTGCTCCAAGCCCCATCCAACCTGCCCTTCAACACTGCCAGGGATGGGGCAGCCACAGCTTCCCTGGGCAACCTGGGCCAGGGTCTCACCACCCTCACAGCAAAGAATTTCCTCCTCATGTCTCACCTAAATCTCCCCTTTTCCAGTTTTAATCCATTCCGCCTCATCCCCTCCCTCCCTGCCCTTGTCCCAAGCCCCTCCCCAGCTTTCCTGGAGCCCCTTCAGGCACTGGAAGGTGCTCTAAGGTCTCCCTGGAGCCTTCTCTTCTCCAGGCTGAACACCCCAACTCTCCCAGCCTGTCTTCGTAGATGGTGAAGATGGTTACAGTTGGAGGTCTCAATGAGAAGCATGTTACAGGAGAGACAAAGTCTGGCTGTGGTTGGACGAAGATTCTCCATGGTCACTTTGTCTTCCTAGCCTTTGGAAAGCCTCCCAGTGGGAAATCCTAAGGCTTGAGCAGCTACTGAGCGTGCAGGAGGTAGAAATGCCCCCTAATAAATTCTGTGACTTTTTGTTCCTGGGCTGGAGGACATGCTGACATGAGGGGACAGCAGATAGAAAGAACAATTATGTGCAGGATTGAGAGGATTTCATGGTTTTATTTGCCTCAAACTGTCCTCAAATCATGGCACAGAAATAATGTATTTTGATCAGAGTAACATTTCTAGACCTCACAACCACAGAGGGACAAATGCTGAAGTGTAGCTGGGTGCCCTTTGGTAGCTCAGCACTCAGGGACTGACCAAATAAATCTCAACTAAGAGCTGGAATTGGTGAGACACATGGAGCAGGAATTTGCCCTGGCAGGGAAATGGATGCACAGAAGGTGGAAAGGGGGGTCTTGTCCTGCAGTCTCTGGGTGCCAAGGCATGTAGGCATAGTCCTGTGGCCCATACACATTGATGTGTGATGGAAGATGGAAGATGAAAATGCCCCCAGCTGGCATTGCTGGCATCCACATTTATATTAAAAAAAAAAAAGCCCTTCAGGGCCATTTTCCTATCTGGTTGACCCTGCTTGGCTTCCATCCCCATTTGCTTGGCCAACCACTGTTGCACTGCACTGATTTCCAGGCCAAGTTGCAAACAGCTTCTTTAGAAATAAAGAAATCTGTTGTGAGCCCTGGAGGATGGGAATGTTTCAGATGTGCCTGATCTAAGTGTGTTTGCAAGGGAATTGTGGAGAGTCTGCCCAGGAGAAGCATCTGTCAGGGAGAGAACATCAAAACAAGTCAATGGATTCATACTCAGTGGCCTTGTGGTGCAGAACCTGCATGATGGGTTGTCTAACATCAGCTCCTTTCTAACTCAGGGAGGAAAGAATAGAGGTTGGATGATCTTTGGAGGTCCCTTCCAACCCAAACTATTCTATGACTCTATGAAAGAAGTCCCAGCAGGAGCCACCTCTTTGCAACGAGCCAGACAGATAATAATTAGCTCAGTACGCTTGAGCCTC